GCTACCACAGTAGGACATCAACATAAGCACAGAAGACAGCTGTGCCACACTACCACAGTATGACATCAACATACGCACAGAAGACAGCTGTGCCACGCTACCACAGTATGACATCAACATAAGCACAGAAGACAGCTGTGCCACACTACCACAGTATGACATCAACATACGCACAGAAGACAGCTGTGACACACTACTACAGTAGGACATCAACATAAGCACAGAAGACAGCTGTGACACACTACCACAGTAGGACATCAACATACGAACAGAAGACAGCTGTGCCACACTACCACAGTAGGACATCAACATACGAACAGAAGACAGCTGTGCCACGCTACTACAGTAGGACATCAACATAAGCACAGAAGACAGCTGTGCCACGCTACTACAGTAGGACATCAACATAAGCACAGAAGACAGCTGTGACACACTACCACAGTATGACATCAACATACGCACAGTAGACAGCTGTGCCACACTACCACAGTATGACATCAACATAAGCACAGAAGACAGCTGTGCCACACTACCACAGTATGACATCAACATACGCACAGAAGACAGCTGTGACACACTACCACAGTATGACATCAACATAAGCACAGAAGACAGCTGTGCCACACTACCACAGTATGACATCAACATACGAACAGAAGACAGCTGTGACACACTACTACAGTAGGACATCAACATAAGCACAGAAGACAGCTGTGACACACTACCACAGTAGGACATCAACATACGAACAGAAGACAGCTGTGCCACGCTACTACAGTAGGACATCAACATACGCACAGGAGACAGCTGTGCCACACTACCAAAGGACACACAAACAAACACAAATCGCCATGTGACCTACCACAAGGCACACACAGAAACACACGTTTGTCACGTGACCTACCACAGGAGGCCGCAGCCACAGTCTTGGTGATCTTGGTGCCTAGCAGCGGCTTGCTGATGGCGATGTAGCGGTCCAAGGCAATGGCCATCAGGATATACATCGACGACAGTCCCAGGAAGTAGACGATGAAGCCTTCTACGTCACACATGGCATCGCCCCAGAGCCACCGACGGGACCAGGCAGACAGCATGGCGGGGGGAGTACCTGGGACAAGAGGCAGTCACTGTCCAGAGTCAGCAGATAAGAACACATGTTACTTACCACAGACAATATATAACTGACCTGGGTCACTATAAAACTATATATACAACATATAACTGACCAGCTGAATGTCCAACATATAACTGACCAGCTGAATATCCAACATATAACTGACCAACTGAATAACCAACATATAACTGACCAGCTGAATATCCAACATATAACTGACCAACTGAATATCCAACATATAACTGACCAGCTGAATATCCAACATATAACTGACCAGCTGAATATCCAACATATAACTGACCAGCTGAATGTCCAACATATAACTGACCAGCTGAATGTCCAACATATAACTGACCAGCTGAATATCCAACATATAACTGACCAGCTGAATATCCAACATATAACTGACCAGCTGAATATCCAACATATAACTGACCAGCTGAATATCCAACATATAACTGACCAGCTGAATATCCAACATATAACTGACCAGCTGAATATCCAACAAATAACTTACCAACTGAATATCCAACATATAACTGACCAGCTGAATATCCAACATATAACTGACCAACTGAATATCCAACATATAACTGACCAGCTGAACACTATCACTACAGCACTGATCACGATGAACATGTGACTAGCAGGGTCCGCGTGCAGCGGTCATCATTTCTAGATTGACGCTGGACATCTGGGCTCATGTACTAATTATGTTCCCTAGGGGACTGCCACCTAGAGGTTTGATCAGCCAAGTCTCATACTGAACGACAATGCCTACTGACTTGGTCTCTCCTCTTCTACCTTGGGCTGTAGAATTTTGCCAGAGGGATCGCTATTTTTCTCTATCTGCAGGTTTTAATCTGACGTTGATCCACTTCCGTCCTCTGTCAGCCAGGGACTGTCTGAAGTGGCCTTCCAGCGAGCCCTTGGTCGTCCTGCAGGTCGTTTCTTGTTTCCTGACCTGATATGTCTGCCATTGTGGTCGATTTGCTCTCATTCTGCATGCATGTCCAAACCATTGTAACTGTGACTGATCCACTACAGTTTGAAAGGCCTAGGTTTCATAATCTGACGCACTCTGTGATTCCGAACTTTATCCAGTCTTGTCATTTAGACCATCTCTCTGAGATATCTCATTTCTGAGGTCTCAGGCTGGCTGCTGAGAGCTGTTGTCATGGCACCTGATTGACACCAGAAGGTCAGGACTTACACTTATGTAGAGCGGTGTACAACTGTTTTAGTTGTCTCGCCGTGATCCGTTTTGCTCAAGTCTCCCAGCTGCTGTTGTTCTAGTAGCCAGCTCTGACTTGATGCCCCCATTCCAGTCTATCACAGCTCCAAGGTTTCTCAACTGGCTGATCTGCTCCTGTGCATACTGTCCCAACATGATTTGATGTTTCTTTTCGTCTCTTAAGATCAACATGATTTTAGTTTTATAGATACTGATGGCTATCCCTCTCTTCCCATGCTCTTCCTTCCAGACAAGTTAGTTGAATTGAACATGCGCCTTTGATTTCGTTGTCTAGGACACATCGTTTGCAAATGCTCTCATATACAGATTGGTCTCATCTTCCAATACCCTACTGGGTACTTCTTTGCCATCTCATGACATTTTTTGACGACATCATCCAACAGAAGAATGGGTTATTTATACGATGGTCTCCCCATTTACACACCACCGATCGCAGGTCAACTTCATTGATAAGCTGGTTGGACTAGTCTACCGTGGTCGAGGTTATGGGTGTCGTTTATCTGTTGTTGTCTGGCATTTACGTTTTTATTTCCGAGAAAGAGACGGCCTGGGACATAGGTTTGGTCACTCTTTTGGGGGAGGGGGGGGGTGGTTGAATGTTAAACCCAGTATCTAAATGTTTTAGAAGTGTTAAAAGCTCTGTTATAGTGAAATATACAACACGCGGTATCAGCGCCAGTGCGGAATATGCACGTGACCTTGTGTGAAAATCGGATCGCTCGAGGCCGACCTATCAGAGAAGTGAGGTGGTCAGTAGGTCGTCAAATCAGAAGCGTGCTAGTGTGTAGAGGTGTGTAAATGGGAAAACCAGCGCAAAATTTACAGAAGAATGAGGTGATAAGGGAAAATTGCAGTTTTTTTAAAAAATTCGATTGTTGCTTGCTGATTCGTGTGGGTTGTGATATTGTAGGGGACAATATGGTGTGAATTGCGTTTTCCGGAGTCCCGGAAATGTCTAGTGACCTGAGTCAATATTTGGTACAGTGTTGACTTAAGCCAGGTGATGTCCATCGGCTGAGTCAATATTTGCTACAGTGTTGACTTAAGCCAGGACATGTCAGTCGGCTGAGTCAATATTTGCTACAGTGTTGACTTAAGCCAGGACATGTCCATCGGCTGAGTCAATATTTGCTACAGTGTTGACTTAAGCCAGGAGATGTCAGTCGGCTGAGTCAATATTTGCTACAGTGTTGACTTAAGCCAGGAGATGTCAGTCGGCTGAGTCAATATTTGCTACAGTGTTGACTTAAGCCAGGAGATGTCCGTCGGCTGAGTCAATATTTGCTACAGTGTTGACTTAAGCCAGGAGATGTCCGTCGGCTGAGTCAATATTTGCTACAGTGTTGACTTAAGCCAGGAGATGTCAGTCGGCTGAGTCAATATTTGCTACAGTGTTGACTTAGCCAGGAGATGTCCGTCGGCTGAGTCAATATTTGCTACAGTGTTGACTTAGCCAGGAGATGTCCAGTCGGCAGAGCCAGGCTAACAGGGCAGCACTAATTCAAGAGACGCTGTTTAGGGTGACGATGCATGTTGAGCGGTAAGATCACTAGTGAAACAAGACAACAGAGATGTCGGCGATGTGTGATGAAGGGGACTCAGAGCCAAGTGTCCTGCCGGTCATTGGAGTTCCTTCAACGAGGCTGATGTGCTGTGTGCACATGCTGAAGATCGAGTATTGTGAGGTTTCCAGTCAGCTGATGTGACGGTGTCTGCTCTGCGTTGAGCAGCAGAGGTCAAGTTGATTAGGAGATATATCCTGTTCATCCGCACAGCGAGCCCGGAGGTGAGGGGCGCTGCAGACCTAGAACTGTAGCGGTCTGCTTATGTGAGAGCGACGCTTTACCTGTGGGAGTGAGCCAAGGGAGGAACATTCATCGCTTGTTAGCCAGGACAGATGAATGAATTACTTCGCTTGCATTGTTGTGTGTGAGGGCTTGTGAATACCTCTGTGATCGTGACAATAAAATGTGCACATATGGCGGCCATAACGTCGTTGAGTTTTCCTGACAGTTGTGTGTAGGAGCGTGGTTTTCCTGACAGTTGTGTGTGGGAGCGTGGTTTTCCTGACTGTTGTGTGTGGGAGCGTGGTTTTCCTGACAGTTGTGTGTGGGAGCGTGGTTTTCCTGAATGTTGTGTGTGGGAGCGTGGTTTTCCTGACAGTTGTGTGTGGGAGCGTGGTTTTCCTGACTGTTGTATGTGGGAGCGTGGTTTTCCTGACAGTTGTGTGTGGGAGCGTGGTTTTCCTGACTGTTGTGTGTGGGGGCGTGGTTTTCCTGACAGTAGTGTGTGGGAGCGTGGTTTTTCTGACTGTTGTGTGTGGGAGCGTGGTTTTCCTGACTGTTGTGTGTGGGAGCGTGGTTTTCCTGACTGTTGTGTGTGGGAGCGTGGTTTTCCTGACTGTTGTGTGTGGGAGCGTGGTTTTCCTGACAGTTGTGTGTGGGAGCGTGGTTTTCCTGACAGTTGTGTGTGGGAGCGTGGTTTTCCTGACAGTTGTGTGTGGGAGCGTGGTTTTCCTGACAGTTGTGTGTGGGAGCGTGGTTTTCCTGACTGTTGTGTGTGGGAGCAAGTTTTCCTGACAGTTGTGTGTGGGAGCGTGGTTTTCCTGACAGTTGTGTGTGGAAGCGTGGTTTTCCTGACAGTTGTGTGTGGGAGCGTGGTTTTCCTGACAGTTGTGTGTGGGAGCGTGGTTTTACTGACAATTGTGTGTGGGAGCGTGGTTTTCCTGACAGTTGTGTGTGGGAGCGTGGTTTTCCTGACAGTTGTGTGTGGGAGCGTGAACTATACCCTTAGATACTAGTCCGTGTGCTTGTTGCTGTGAGCGAGTTAGCACACAACATCCATCAACATTTCGTTCAGTTATGTATATGAGTTTAGGCAATGATCACGTAGAGAACTGGTGCCAAGTACTCTGGCTTCAAGGTACCCCGTTCAATCGCCAATAGAATATAGAGATAAGGTGGCGACAATCCAACAGGGCAAATTAAAGTGTTTTTTTTTTTTTTTCAAATCCATCAACGTTTATTCAGTTATGTGTATGTGTTTATGCCAAAAATTAGGACACATATAACGACAACGCCGAGTACTAAATTTGTGTACCCCGCAGTTTGTTTGATTGAAACTCCTGTCAAAGATAGACAAAATAACTTGATCACTTTGAGACATAAATAAATTGGTTTCAAAAATCGACAGAAAGAGGGGACAAGTCAAATGAAATAAAGTTTCGTGTAACATTGACGCAAAGACCTGAGAACTTGGACATCTCATAGACTGTTGACTTGGTCACAAATCATCTCAGGCTAGATAATTTGGCTTTGATTGATCTGAAGAATGTCCACACTTTACTGCTTTCTGCAAGGGGCCAGCGCTTGCTTATGTCTGGTGTATGCAACAATCAGTTCGAGATTGTATCCCTTGAGTCAATCTGCCAACTCAACCCAGAGAAAGCGGCCAATGACAAACGCAAGAACTATATTTGTATGGATTCACTGCTTGAACTGAGAAGGAAAGAACTGAGAGAACTGAAACCACAAGAGTTCTGTAAGAGAAAATTGCTCCCTGTACTTGATCGACCTGCTTCTGCTACTGGCCAGGCCTGGATTAATGGAAGTTAACGATAGAACATGTTCCATGTAAAAAAGAAAGATCATAACATGTTGGTTGTACGAGAGAGAAAAAGATCATAACATGTTGGTAGTACAAGAGAGAGAAAGATCATAACATGTTGGTAGTACAAGAG